CATTAAAAAGTATTCTTGCTCAATTCAACGCAGTCAGGGGTTTGGCTGCTACAGCCTAATTTGCTCTGGTATGACCAGTGTCAGCCATAGACTATGTACTGTATAAAGATGGACGTTGCCTCCGTGATGCCACCCATAGGTTTCTGAGGAGTAGTTTTGAAGCTCAGTGAGCGCCGGACTCCACCGAACTCCCAGCAAATCCAAAAAAATGGGCAAAGAGGTCGAGGACGGAGGAAATTAGCTGTAAACATGTTTATTTCTACTGTAAAGTTTGGACATTTTAACATGGGAGTCTATGGGGATTGACTCACTGTTGGATCCTGACTCTAGTGGTCATTAGAGGAACTGCGGCTTTTGGTGCTTCAGTCTTGGCTTCATTTTTCAGCCCCTGGAGGTTGCAGCTTGGTATTAGCTTATGGTGGCTAATGTTTGCTAATTGTGACACTGACATTACAACTAAGTAGACACACTGTTCATCACCAGTAGACATGTTTGTTGTTTCTTTCTTGTGGTCACACTCCATTTGACTCTGTCAGGTCCCTTAATGATGATGATGTCTTTAAAACATCTGACTCAGGACAATCTTGGGAAATTCACTGTGCCATTATCCTGTGGCCGTGTTCAGCAGAACGTCCACAGTCTCACTTTAATTTGAACAAAACCAATTAAATCCAATTCAGAAGAACCTTTAAGGGGGTCGGTTAACCAAAAAATACTAAAAACATATGTTCCTACATATCTGTAGTGGTATCTAGTCATGCAGACGTGGTAGTTATGGTCAAAAGTACATTCCACTGAAGAAAATAGTCCCTATTAAAATTCCATGGGTTAGGGTCTGAGGAATATTCAGAGCAATAAAGACATTGTTTCTGGAAAGAGATGTTGCTGTTGAATTCTTCAAATGTCTTTTTTTATTCCATAAGCCTTACACGTGAGATTTCATTCACCTCGATTCTTTTAGGATGGATACAAACCTCTTTAAATAGCTTCCCCCCAGTTTAATATGCTCTTCTTTTGTACGTATACTATGAATTCACACCACTACAACTTCTGTCGTCTTAGAGAACCAGCACGTTTCTGTCATACAGACTCGGTGAAACTGAGTTCTGGTGGGTCTACCCTGCACTGCGCCCCTTGTTGTCAGACATGAAAAGAGGCAGCTGTTTTTGCCCTCAAGTGAGAGCAGTGAGAGCGGGCAGAGGCTCCCTAAAATAAACAGGCTATCTGTGCAGCCCTGGGGCTGGGTCAGGGTCACACTCCATGGGGCTCACTCACTTGGGTTCTCCCTGCCCGCGTCCAAACACAGCCCCGCACTTCTCCACTGGCTGAGAACAGAGAGTTTCTCTCGAATTTAAACAGTATTTTGGGAAAATGATCAGCCCCGAAGTTTAAAAAGTTACTGCTCCTGATTCGAGGAAAAGTGTCACAGTTTGCTGAAAATAACTTTGAATTAGTTACACTTCCTCCCATCTCACTTCGTTACCAGCTAATTGATTCAGGAGGTAAATCATTTGATATTATATCAACATAATTTTATATAAGAACTGCAGGAGACGTAACTGTCAAGAATAATTCTCATACAATGTGATGTTGAAAGCTATAGGCTGCTGGTTTTCCAGTGCAGTGTTATTCTCTAACCCGTATTGTATTGTCCCCTATGAATGCTGCAGTATCCAAGAATATTTTGAGTTGATTAGAAAAAAAATATTTTATTTAATTTATTTTGAGGTGGGTTTACAATAAACCCATGATTTAGATAGGAACTAGTTCATAGTAAGTTCTTTAAACGGCCATGTTAGTGGCTCTGTGAAGCTACACAGCTGTGCTTTGAGCTAAATGACAATACTAACATGTTTAACAGGTGTAATGTTTACCATGTGTACCGTCTTAGTTTAGCATAGTTGTAATTATCACTGAACACAAAGAACAGCTCAGGGTGTGGCGAAAGGCCTATTTGTAACTCACAAATTCAGAATTATGTTCCTCTGGTTTACTTTCCACATTCAAAGACAAATTGGCATCCACTACAGAACTTGGCGTTAGAAATTGAAACCTTTGTGAGTTTAAAATTGTTTGAACGATTGAAGACAGAAAAGCCACAACCAACATGAAAGTTTTGCAGCAACTTCTGTTATAACATTCATGTCTGAACTACTGTAACTGGGAAATATGGTGTCAAGTCCACTAAAAACAAAAACATTGAATTAACAACAAATTCACATCTTGCCTTTGTTTTCAGCTGCTAATTGATATCATTAAATTCAAAATATGTAGAAAAATGCATTTATATTCAGCGATGTAAGGTACTGAAAAGTTGATTATTTTGGTTTTGTACAGAAATACGAGTAATGTTTTCGCCCCGGTGGCACCTCAGAAACTGTATTTGAACATATTTATGTCTCGAGTGTTGACCAAACTGGTTTGGGAGTGCGCCTGAAATTAATTTTAGAAGGGATTTCCAGCATGAATGCAGTAGCCTCTTATTCTGAGAAGCTGTTATTTGTCTCATTCTTAGCTCTGCAGCTCTGGCTGCACAGAAGCCTCACTGGATCACGGCTAATGAACTCAGGCATTTACTGCACCAGCTGGCCTCAAGTTCTGAGTGGAGAGAAGGACGCACTCAGGGATTGGCTGTGAGTACAAAAGCATCACATGCTCTCTTTTTATTTGATTGAAGAGGAATTTAATAATTTTCAAGTTCTATAATTGATACAAGTGTTTTTTTTGTCTCACCAGTTATAGTGGGTTTTCTGAAGTGTATTCTGTCAACTAACATATACCTAAAAACAAAAAAGACTTGGTTATTAGAAACAGAAATGTTTTACATTAATTAGAGACGTGTTTATGGTTAAGTTTTAACCTGTAATATAAATCATGTAATTGAATCCCTACTTTCCATTTCCTGCAGTTATATTGATACTTTATTAGTTTATTACTTTATTAGTTTACCTACCGGAGTCCAATCAGTTATGTATTTTTATTAGTGTAGCTCTAGAGGTGGCAACGCTGGTTGGTCAGCCCACCATTTTAGTTCAGACTGAAGTATCTCAGCAACTACTGGATGGATTGCCATGAAACTTTGTGCTGGCAGTCCGTGTGCCAAGAGAATGAAGTAACAACAGTGAAGTACGTAAATGCATTAGGATCAATGTAAATATTGACCGGTGAGGCATTGCTCGGTGCATTCTGTTAAAAACAGGAGCATGTTTTTAACTTAAATCCTTCTTTTCTATGAGGCTTTGTTGTCATAAATGTATACTTAGCTCTTAATTATATGGTGGCTAACTACAGATTCCAAAAGTGATTGCAGTAAGGAGACTTTAATAGCTTTGTGGCTCCTCCTATAAACTCTAATTACAGCCAGTGTGAATATTGTTTTGAAAGGATCATTTTTCATCCCGCTGTAATGAAAATGTGTTGGAGGGCAGCGAGGATAGAGCAGGACAATACATCCCCCTCTTTTCCAGCCCACGAAGGCGGCTTCCACCACAGGGACAGTGGCTCTCTACGGGCTGGAGGCCTCTACAGGCGTGTGGCTCGCCACCAGCCACTGGCTCAGGGGACAGCTGTGTCACGCTGTGGTGTTTGGCCCTGTGCCCCAAGACAGCAGTTGCCATAAACAAACAGTGCTGAAAGCTTCTGGCCCAGTCCCCAGCGCTTTTCAAGACGGTGCAGCGAGCTCGCTGACCCTCGACCAGTTCACTCCATTAAGTTCGAATAGATTTCAACAGCACTTTGGAGGGTTGAGATGGTAAAGAAATGCTACTTGTCGTGTACAAAATCAGCAGAATGAAAATGAGCGCAAAGGGGCTGCTAAACAGACCAGGCTTTATTTTTCCGTATTTGCTCTTTTACTGCTTACGATGAATTCACATGCCGTTAGATGTCGTGGGAAAAAAAAACACATTTAAATCTTGGAAAGTTCTCAGGAACGCCATGTAGCCGTTCTTTAACTTGATTAATGAAGTCAGAAAGTTGGAGTACATTTCCTACACAAGCTCTCAACTAAATGGGATAGAAGTTTTATGCCAGCCAATGGCAAGGAAGCAGTATAAACAATGTAGATATGTTTTACAAAGTAATCCCAACAGAAGGTCCAGGTTGAAAGCTCTGGAAAAAAACTAATAAGTAGACCCTGAGTATTATAAGTGCGTTAAAGGAGTAGATCCACATTTTGGGTAAAACAGTAATTCGCTTTCTTGCTGAGAGTTAGATGTGAAGATTGACACCACTTTTGTGTCTGTCCATTAAGGAAAAAACTGCAGCTATTAGATGGTTAGCTTAGCTTAGCATAAAGACTGAAAGCAATGAGAAACAGCTAGCATGGCTCTATCTTTAAAAAATAACAGTAACTTGTTGCTCTTACACTTCAGGTGATGCACATAACTTTTTAATTGGTAAATTTATTGAGCTTGGTTCGCAGATTTTGTTACCTTTTGGTTAAGCTAAGCTAAGCTAACCGGCTGTGGCTTTAGCATCATGTTTAACAGAGAGTTATTATTATTTTCTTCTAACTCTAACTGGGCAAGAAAGTGTAATTCCCAAAATGTTGAACTATTCCTTTAAAATCTCAAATGACTAAACATCAAATTGTATGAGATACATTTTTTTTTTAAATATATTTTCCTCTACATTTCATATTAGGAAATATATCACGTCCCAAAACCGATTAGCTGTTGATAAGGTAATCCCTGATGTCAGGCCCTTCCAGCGGCATGTGAGCACACAAACATGCTCTTTCTCCAAGATTTGTGTTGTGGCAATATAAAGTAGTGTTGAGTTTACCTTCGGCCAAGTTGAGCCCAAAGGAGCCGTTGATATCGTCATGGCTGAGTTCATCCTCTCTGTGCTTTTGGAAAGCTTATACTCTCACATAGCTGGATTCTCCCACAACATTTTCCCAAGACAATTTTAAGTGAAGTGTATTCAGTTACTTTAATAGTATTTCAAATAATAAGCTTATATTTCATTTTAGACATCATATACTCTGTTATCTGATCTTTTTTTTTTTTTTACATCATGCAAAATGACTTTTTGGCAACATGCCAACAAATTAAAAAAAGAAATCCTGAATGAATGAACATACTACCTTTTATATTAAACAAGGTAATCTGAAGAGCACAGTCATATGAGTTTCAGTTCAGTATATTGCTGTAATTGCCAAACTGAACAAGACACTTTAATAAAGGAGACATGTGAAGTCAATTGAAAGCAGGTGGGAGACATTTCATTGCATGCAAAGCTCCTGTTGCCAGTGATTCTCAAAAAGCCTCTCATCACTTCCAACACATACGCAGTTGTTCCAAGGGTTATTCCCAAGACCATATTACGATCAGTCACACCCTGCAGCGCACTGAATACTTTTATGAGCATGAAAATGGTGTGAATCTTTTTTTTTTGTTTTGTTTTTGGCCATCAATGTCATGTGACCCCAACAACATTGTGGTCATGTGTTGCCAAAGGACTTACAGTTCCCTTCTGCTACTAAATGAAAACACTTGAGCCGTCTGGTGGAGCCCAAATCCCCTGCAGACTCCTGTGTGTTGATGTTTATTTTAACAGTTAAGTTTATATGAGCAGCCATTTTGCATGCTAGACTAAAAAAAACTGTGATTATACAGGCACGTATCACATGCCTGTGGTTGATCCATTTATTAAAAGTAAATACATGAATTAAAACATGAACCCTATCAGTTCTGTATAATGTCAGTGTCATGTTTTTGTTTAAATGTAAGAGTAAATATGTATTTTAATTGGAAGTGTTTTTGGTTTGGTAAAAATGCTGCTTACACGTTTATAAATTCTCAAATTCACAGTCAAAGTCTGTCATTCTGCACAGGATGTACTTCCACTGCCGATCTCTGAAACAAAGTGAAAGACAGAATCCTGTCAGTTCATACAGTCATAAATTACCAAATTTTACTGGTTCTTTGTTTTTTGTCTGGTCTGCCTATAAATTCTGGTCCCACTGGCCTCACAAGAAAGTCTTTTTTTTTCCAACTAAGTCATGAGACAATTTGAAAATTTATGGTGAGATTTTTGATCCAAACTGCTGCCACTTGGGATCAGAAGTGATTCAGGAAAAAAAAAGGCAGATGTTTTGAACAAACCTTAGCACTCCACTGAAGGTGGTCTGGGCTCCTCGGATGAAGTAGCCATAACTAGGGATCACCAGCTCTGCCTCCTCTTTGTAGTATTCGGGAATGTCAGTGGTCTTCCTGTGGGAAGCAACAAAAACAATGTTTGCCTAGTTGCTTATTAATGTGTGAACCTTCAAAATAATAGTTTGACATTTTGGGAAGCAAACGTTTCCACTTTGTTGGCAAGACTTAAGATGAAAAGATTGATACCACTCTCCTGTCCATACGCTAAATATGAAGCTACAGCCAGGAGAAGCGTAGCTTAGCTTAGCTTAGCTTAGCACAAAAACACAAACACAGCTAGTCTGGCTCTGTCCAAAGGTTAAAAAAAAATCAGAGTCTCTAAATCTCACTAATCAAAATACAAAAAGTGGGACTATTTCTTGGCCAGGAGAAGTGACTTCCTGGAGTCTGTCCTCCCCACAGCTCAAAAGAAATCTGGCACATAACCTTAGTATAACTAGGAGCTGGTCATTTCTACACTTCTGTTTGTGTCTGGACTAAACAAACAAGATGTGTTCATCTCATGAGGTGCTGGTAGGTGGAGTTCAGTCAGAGCCAGACTCGCTCTTTCCCCCGTTTCTAGTCTTATCACCAAGCTACACTAACTGTCTCCTGGTTCCTGCTTCGTATTTAACAGATAGGTATGACAGTTGTATCAATCTTTCCATGTAACTCTGAGTGAGTTTATCTCCTATTATGTCAAACTATTGTTTTAACATATTTATATTCCTGTGAGAACGTACATGCAGGAGTAAGGACAGCGGCGTTTGTAATAACAGCAGTAGAACTGCCACTCCCGGTCCAGAACAGATTCAAAGTACTTGCTTTGTACACCTGCGACCAGGCCGTTACGGGTACAAGTTGAAGTCCTGCAAAGACATGAGTTAAAAAACAAATCACTGTTAATTCATGGCAAAGAAAATAAGATGTAAAATGACACCCTATATGCTTCCATCAATTCCAATCCTTTCATTCCTTTGTACGAACAAAACTATAACAATAAAGTTTCAAGGATATTTTGAGAGTTAAAACATTGAAAAACCTTTTAGACCAGGAGAAAATGTGTATCATTATGTGTATCAAGTAAATACTGGTTTGTTGCCAGTGCAGGTTGTTTATGGCCCATACACTTTGCTGTCGCCACAACACATTCAGGAATACCAGGTCCAAGCAGCAGGGGCTGCAGCATGCGTGGACATCTGTCATGGCAACATGGGCACAGCCTTCAGCCATTCGGCCAATGGGAGTAGTTACCCTGCAGGGTAATGTCCTCGGCAGTGTAATTCAAACAGACAGCTGTGTTAAAAGGAAGCAGGCGTGGCAGTGTTAGAGTGTTGACAGTGTTTGTCTTTGAATCAGTGAGCTGGGTGCAGTCGAGCTTAACTTGAAATAAATCTGAAGAGCACGAATGTGTTCTGCTCTCCAACCTGGAAAGAGACTTCAGCTGAGCGAGCAACCTGCGTTAGGATTCAAGCTGCTGTTTACAAAGAGATGGCAGGCTACAATTCTCCCTCTAAACAGGATTTCTGAAGGTTGATCCAAGTCCTCTAATTAGATCAACCTTTCAGTGCAGCTGATGGTTAGTCAAACATGTTTATGTGAGGTTGTGGTATTTTGTGTGGGGTGAATTTAAAAGATTACCTGACAACGTAAAAAGGAAGCCGGTTATAAGAAGATCTTTCTCCCCTTGTTTTCTCCTTTTGCATAATCTGCTTTTTCTCTAGTCTGTCTGTATGGCATGTTGCAAGAGTTAAAGAAAATGCTGTATGTAGCCTATAAAATACAGATAGAATACAGATTTCTCTGAAGGACCACTGACACAACCTGTTGGATTCATCTTGTTAAAATTCACTGGAGGTAGTTGTGTTCCAAGAATCTGGAGTGAGACAGTGATTCATACAGGCCCATGAGGACCTGGCTTTGTTCCTCTGAATGAGAAAACAGTGGGCAGAATTCAATGTTTTTATTAAAGTAACTGAAATTAAACATCTGGAAAATCTGAGCAAAAATCCTTGTTTAAGTCTGTGTTTTAGAAAAGACAAATTAGCAAGTTTTGCAGGATATCGCTATAGGCTTGCACCAGCTATTCATATTACAAGGTTTTGTGTGGAGTGTGTCCTAAATTCTTATTAACTAGTTTTCTAGATCTGCTTGCAACAAGAGGGAGTGAAATATTCAATCACGCTATCTTAGCTAACAGTTTGTTATTTGAGCTATATTGTATTATTTTTGTGAAATGTTAATTACAGTTTTCTTAGTTTAGACCGTTATTAAACAGGATTTTATCAAGTGGACCGTGTTACATGTTACCTTAACCCTACACAGACCATGTTAGCAAGCTAACATTAGTTTTATCAGTTAAGCTAGCTGGTGCCATTAGCTACACAGCAGTTACACATGGCAGTTACTGCGTGTAAATATTTAGTAACAACTTATCTATCAGAAGAATAGTTTGTGTGGTGACTTAGTCCACTTAGTAAAACCTTTTACACATTAGCTGTGTCATAACGCCATCGTCGACCGTGAAGGCTAAACCAAGATGAGATGGGGGATCGTCCTTGGCTCCTGTTTTATTTGTAAAGTCCAACTTATTCTCATTTTGAAGAGTGATTCCATTAAGATTCACCACCAGCGTGCAGAGGCACAGCTTGTAAACAGGCAAGGCAGGAAGCTGCTTGGGGCCACCATAGGCTGACAAACTTTATTCCACAGCAACGTCTCAAACTGCAGCTCTCTCTCGCTTAAACAACCAATGGACAATTTACAATGACAACTCAGTAGGAAACCTCCGTAAAGGGGCCCCATTTAGAATAAAAACAATGGGGATCTGTGATTGGTCGTTAGGTACGCCCATTCACAGCTCATTCACGTCTTTGTCTGGCTGAGGACTGGTCGACTGAATGTGCTGCTGCTCTGTCCTGCCCACTGAGCTCCGTCAGTTGAGAGAGTCAATCAGAGCATCTTCACTGAGAAGGAGGGGAGTTAAAGTTTTGTCCAAAAAGTCTCTAGATATGTCTCTAGCTGCTTTTATGAAAAAAAAGTAGCTGAAGGGTTTTAAAATCGTTAAATCTACCAGGAATATTATTAAGTTGCCAACACCGCTAATTAGGAAACCTCCTTAAAGGGGCTTTATGTGTTGATGCTAATGTTGATTATTTACCATGTGACAATTTAGTTATTTATTTAGACTTTTATTGTTCTTTATAAAGTATATTTTTTAAAATTAAAAGTTTTTTTTTGTTCTTTATATTTTGACAATTCTACTAACGTGAACATTTGGAATTAAAAAGGATCCACCTGTCGCAAAAGTGGTGGTGATGATTTTGTGATCAGCTTGTTGACATTTAACGTCCTCGACTCAGGACTCATTCCTGCAGCACTCTATGTGGGTAATCTGCTCTTTAAATGACCAATAACATCTGCTGGCTGCAGCTGTATTTGTGTTTATATACTCTAGATGAGGTCTGGAGGTTTTCCCTCTTTGTGTTTGTCACCCAGTCACCTGCAACATGGGGGGTTTTGTTCATGCAACAGTTTCAGCAGCAAAAGCCACACTGACCTTGTACGTGCCAGTGCTGACCTTTAAGAGCCTGTGTTGTTGGTCTGAGTGAACGAACTTATTAATTAGTTAAAAGCATATTGTCTTTGATGTGGACTTCTTCCTGTTGGTTGGAACAGAATCTCACAAGTGGGCCAAAGATGTGCCTCCTTTGAAGCTTTCATGTGGATCTGTCTGTAATAAATGTCCTTCTTGAGATGCCTATCTGCACATAAAAGCTTTTTTCCTGCATATTTAAACATAATATACGAGAGGAACAATTCAGATGTTCACAGCTGCTGTGCAGAGTTAAAGAAAATCTGAGTGATATTTTATGGCGTTTACTGTACACGTGTAATCTGACGCAGATGTTCCCGGATGACTAATTGTTAATTTCTGAATTACTGTCGTTGTTTATCATTCTGTCTCATTTGTTCATATCATTGCTGGTTAAATCCCTGTTGGCCACCACAGCTGCTGTAATGCTACATGCAGTAAGATTATAAACTGGAGAAAAACCTACAGCTACAATTCATCAAAGTGACTTCTGTGCATCTGTCCCACAGGCACCACCCTGTCCCGCCCTGACAGCTCCTGAAATTACACTTGCTTGGATTGTTAAGAATCTAATCAATTCAACTTACAGGTTGTTTAATCTTTTAGTAGACTCTGGTTTATATAAATGCAGGCCACACTCCCTGGTTTCACTCTAAAGCCTGAACAGATGTGACACTGCAGCTCACAGCTGTAAAAGTCGACAACAGGTGGTAAAACGCTGACATAAGACAGAGGACCCACCACTCCATTCCAGCGCGGTTGATGTCATCCCACCAGCAGTCACTGGGCTCCCCCAGACCCTCAGGTGTGGGCTGGCACTCAAACGTCCACAGGCGATCGGAGCCGTCGGCCTCGCTGAAATAGCTCCTGATGGCCACCACGACCTCTCCGTGGGCACACTGGAAGTTGAAGCTCTGGCGGTAGCCATTGACCCACGCCATGTCATGATGATCATGATTCTGAGCTTCCACTGTGGCCAGCAATGACAACGCCAACACCACCAGAGCAGGCTTCATGTTGAAGGAATCAGTGCGTCTGCTGCGCTCCCTCACAGCTGCCTCAGTTTAAACTCCTCTGAGCCTTTTGTTGTCCAGATGTTTTGTATCCAGGAGTGATGTGTAATTGCTCACAGGACAAATCCAAAATGACTGGACATTTTAAGGTCGACTCTGAGACAGAGCATTAGCAAAGTCTCATCGTAGAGAAGGGTGCACCTTAAAAGACAGCACTTACAGATTACATGCAATTCAGATATTTGTTTGGTGCTTTACTCGACTCTGGAGAATGGAGTCATCTGTTAAACATCTAATTGTTCAGCTTGTAAACTTTGCAGTGTGATCATCTTTTTTATAGCTTTTTCAATACAAATGTTCATTTTGGACCTTAAAACTGTTTTCTTCAGTCACGAATCATCACATTATATGGCCCTCAAGATTTTCACTAGACAGATAAAACGAGTGGGTGGATCTGACAAAACAGAATATTTAGATTTTATTGAGCAATGTCTCTTTGGTTGTTGAATATTTGTTGTTTCAGGCAATATTTACCAACATGAATTACCAACATGAAGATGAATAAACAGTCATTAGAAATGTGGATAAGCTGCTACAATAAAAAAAAGAAAAGAGTCAGATTTAAACACTAAAAATTTTAATTCAAAAATTAAAGAAAAACAACAGCTACAAGCTAGAAATAGGAAGCCAGAAAGCCTGACCAGCGTAGAGTATCAGTCCCAAAACTTATAATGAGCATCAGTGACCCGCAGCGTTGCACTGGACATGTTCCTTCATTATAGTGAATATGGGCACTGTTGTTTAATTTAAGTCAATCCCACATACATCATCGTGTGCTGTAAATACAAGCATGTCAAAGGTCTGTTAAACCACGATGGAAAATAGTCACAATACACAATTTACTCCTGTTTGTGTAGGAAATTACTTTAAAAAAAAAGAAAAGGAATTAAACTATATATTTGTGAACTGATTTCCATCTTCAGTATAGGAAAATACATAACACCAGCCATCTCCTCGGAAAGGTCATGGTACAAACGTTTACATAATGCATTGATACAGATCACTAAGTGCTAAATTGAGCAACACAAAAATGATCAGTACAGAATCACTGATCCATTTTCTTCCCAGCATCAAAGAATAACAGTCATTAGATTATCCACAGCTTCCCCTGTTCCTGTGAGTGTTCTTGTAAAAGCTGACAAATTAGGCTCCGTCAGATAAGCTCATATTATTTATAGGGTGTGGTGTTAGAGTAATTTGTGCAGGTGTTTCTTTTGATCATGCTTGCATCTTTTATGTTGATGTTATGCATTTTTCAGTGGAAAGTGACATCAGCTGTCAAACTGAACCGTAATGTTTTGATTTTTCGAATGTGATTCAAGATTCAAATGTTTTATTTGTTTTGTCAGTATGTGCAGTGAAATGCAGGGTTGTGCACAGGCTAAAAGGCTACTGCTCAATAAAGCTAATTTATTGGAATAAGTATAAAAAGAAAAAAAAAAACATAATATATATAACATCTAATTTGTAGTCTGTACATCCCAATCAATGCATTTCAATATAGTATTTTATCCTACTTCCATATTTATAGTGTATTGTGGTTTTGTGATAATGAGAGCTATTTTAATTACACTGTACACAATACTTCCATGCTCTGGTTTGAAACTATGTTAAATTGCATTGTCCCTATTAAATGATTAGACATTTATATTAAATAAATGTTAAAGGTGAAAGCTAACATGTAGATGTTAAGGCAGGTTGTGCAGTGTTTCAGTATGTAAAAAATGTACATACAGTATATCTGTCATAGCTGTGAGGCAAATAATACAATAAAATGTGTTCTTATGTTATACAAATATGTTCTTTTAGAACGTGTATATTTGTGTTCTTCCATATGACATACTGTTTTTATATACGTACTCCACCAGAATAACATTTAAGTTAAAATAAAGCAGAAAATGTGAAAAATCACAGAAATTGTTTCTAACTATGTAGCATCAACTGTGATAAAAAGCAAATTAAAACCATCTAAGAAAAGCTGTGATTTTCTACATTATATTTCACTGGCCTTTGAGTAAACAAGTCTCACTTAACATAGTGTAGTTAGACAATATTGATTTTTAAAATGTATTCTGTTACACAGCCAACCCACATTTACATCGATTGTTATAAAATGTTATTAATACAACCTAATACGTTCTTTTCTGTGGGTTTGTTTATTGAGGAGAGAATGTGATCACTGTGTGCCTGAGAATCTGATCCCATGCGAGAGATCATCCTCAAAGCATCTAAAAATAAATAACAGCACATGATCAGGAATAGCGTGTGAGTCACTGCATGAGGAGTTCCACAAAAGTCAAAATGGAACAGAACTAGGAAGTATTTATAGACACTATTGTCTATTTAAAAATCTCTATTTAGAGCAGTGCTGTTGGCACTTAGGGAATGTAGGGCTTCATTCACAACACCTCGACCTGACTGTGACATCAAGGGCATAGGTTTGGACTCAACATTGGTAGGGACGCAACAACCCCGGCACTCCTCCAAAAACAAATAGAATGGCTTTTTAATGCTCCCAGCAACACGGTTTATTAATATATAAGATCTGAATTTACATTCAGGAATGCCCATGAACACATGTAATATATATACATGTGTTGTATTTGCATATATGAAATATATTTACATATAAAGTAAATTCATGTGCATTTAAATTATAGCCTGTAAAAATTACATATGAGAAATTACATATGAAACCTGTGACGTTTTTATGACTTTTTATGCCTTACTATACTATGACGTTTTTTTGACTTTTTATGCTTTCCTATGACGTTTTTATGACTTTTTATGCCTTACTATACTATGACGTTTTTATGACTTTTTATGCCTTATTATACTATGTCGTTTTTATGATTTTTTTATGCCTTACTATACTATGTTGTTTTTATGCTTTGCTATACTATGACGTTTTTATGACTTTTTATGACTTGCTATACTATGACGTTTTTATGACTTTTTATGCCTTACTATACTATGTTGTTTTTATTACTTTTTATGCCTATACTATGTCATTTTTATGCCCTATGACGTTTTTATGACTTGTTATGCTTTACTATACTGACGTTTTTATGACTTTTTATGCTTTTCTATACTATGACGTTTTTATGACTTGTTATGCTTTACTATACTGACGTTTTTATGACTTTTTATGCTTTTCTATACTATGACGTTTTTATGACTTGTTATGCTTTACTATACTGACGTTTTTATGACTTTTTATGCTTTTCTATACTATGACGTTTTTATGACTTGTTATGCTTTACTATACTGACGTTTTTATGACTTTTTATGCTTTTCTATACTATGACGTTTTTATGACTTGTTATGCTTTACTATACTGACGTTTTTATGACTTTTTATGCTTTTCTATACTATGACGTTTTTATGACTTGTTATGCTTTACTATACTGACGTTTTTATGACTTTTTATGCTTTTCTATACTATGACGTTTTTATGACTTGTTATGCTTTACTATACTGACGTTTTTATGACTTTTTATGCTTTTCTATACTATGACGTTTTTATGACTTGTTATGCTTTACTATACTGACGTTTTTATGACTTTTTATGCTTTTCTATACTATGACGTTTTTATGACTTGTTATGCTTTACTATACTGACGTTTTTATGACTTTTTATGCTTTTCTATACTATGACGTTTTTATGACTTGTTATGCTTTACTATACTGACGTTTTTATGACTTTTTATGCTTTTCTATACTATGACGTTTTTATGACTTGTTATGCTTTACTATACTGACGTTTTTATGACTTTTTATGCTTTTCTATACTATGACGTTTTTATGACTTGTTATGCTTTACTATACTGACGTTTTTATGACTTTTTATGCTTTTCTATACTATGACGTTTTTATGACTTGTTATGCTTTACTATACTGACGTTTTTATGACTTTTTATGCTTTTCTATACTATGACGTTTTTATGACTTGTTATGCTTTACTATACTGACGTTTTTATGACTTTTTATGCTTTTCTATACTATGACGTTTTTATGACTTGTTATGCTTTACTATACTGACGTTTTTATGACTTTTTATGCTTTTCTATACTATGACGTTTTTATGACTTGTTATGCTTTACTATACTGACGTTTTTATGACTTTTTATGCTTTTCTATACTATGACGTTTTTATGACTTGTTATGCTTTACTATACTGACGTTTTTATGACTTTTTATGCTTTTCTATACTATGACGTTTTTATGACTTGTTATGCTTTACTATACTGACGTTTTTATGACTTTTTATGCTTTTCTATACTATGACGTTTTTATGACTTGTTATGCTTTACTATACTGACGTTTTTATGACTTTTTATGCTTTTCTATACTATGACGTTTTTATGACTTGTTATGCTTTACTATACTGACGTTTTTATGACTTTTTATGCTTTTCTATACTATGACGTTTTTATGACTTGTTATGCTTTACTATACTGACGTTTTTATGACTTTTTATGCTTTTCTATACTATGACGTTTTTATGACTTGTTATGCTTTACTATACTGACGTTTTTATGACTTTTTATGCTTTTCTATACTATGACGTTTTTATGACTTGTTATGCTTTACTATACTGACGTTTTTATGACTTTTTATGCTTTTCTATACTATGACGTTTTTATGACTTGTTATGCTTTACTATACTGACGTTTTTATGACTTTTTATGCTTTTCTATACTATGACGTTTTTATGACTTGTTATGCTTTACTATACTGACGTTTTTATGACTTTTTATGCTTTTCTATACTATGACGTTTTTATGACTTGTTATGCTTTACTATACTGACGTTTTTATGACTTTTTATGCTTTTCTATACTATGACGTTTTTATGACTTGTTATGCTTTACTATACTGACGTTTTTATGACTTTTTATGCTTTTCTATACTATGACGTTTTTATGACTTGTTATGCTTTACTATACTGACGTTTTTATGACTTTTTATGCTTTTCTATACTATGACGTTTTTATGACTTGTTA